TAGTAGACTTCAAGGGTGCGACAAAGAAACACCGCGTGTCATATGTCCGGCTTGTTCTTAAAAAGAATTCTAGGAACTACGGCTGGAAAATAAATGACGCGCTGTCTATTGTTGGACATGTGGAGCATCATTTCGCCCAAATGCTTGTTGAGAGTCTAATATATTAGTGAATAGAACAAAAATTCCGTGCCTCCTTTAAAAACTCAATCCTTTCGGAAATTTGAATCCTATTTCGAATGACACAGATATGGACGGAAATATGCAGCTGAGCTTGACGCGAATTGCGGCAAAACCATAAAGCCCGATCTAGACAAACCGCAGCTCCTTAAAAAAGAATGATTCAGCTTCCTAAAAGGAAACTTTTTCTTTACAACCAATGAGGTATTTGTCTTGGCGTTCTGTTGGTGGCGCCCAGCGGACACCCCTAAAGCGTGCGCCAGCGCCGTCAACAGTTTAGTCATCGGCCGGTGGATGAGTCACGCGCCCACAACTCGGCGTACGTGAGTCCTCGCTCTCGTCCAGAATTGTGAGTTTGGTTCGGCATCCACGAGATAATGACACAGAGGCAGAAAAGACATAGGTATTCGAGGACGAAGGATGTGTTTGACTCTGTTGCCGACAGCCATCATGGCCATGCCTGGCGTCCTTGCTCAAGGCTCTGTGGAATCGAGGCCACTTACCTTCGCAGCGAGCGGTTGCAGACGCTCTGACCTACGGCCACTCGACCGACTCCAACCCGAACGCACATGAGTCCACAGAGTCGCGACTGTTCATGCGCCACTTGAACACACAATCCCAATCCCCCTGTAAATGCAACAAAAGTCACTTGAGCATCACACCTCGACAAAACAACAAACGCCGATTGAGCACAACTTCACATTGCCCCACAAACCTACAAAAGCAGTTGCCACCACTGTTTCAAGGACTCTTAGGCATGACTGGACACAGTCAACACTAGCTCTATCTTAGCCAGCGGCCCCTGTCGCCGAAGAGGATAAATTGGGACTTTGTATGCGATAAATCCCTCATTCTGGTGATTTCTGCCTTTTCCTAGAACTCGGGATTTGGCCTGACGATGGTAGTGCTCCGTGTACACACCCACTCTTCGGACGCTACGACTCAACCAATAGACACTGGCTTATCTGCTACGGATAGTGGTGCATGTGCTCTGCTAAAAGGACTCCATCAGAAATGTTTCCGTAAAACTTACTGAGTGCATTAATTGTCAGATAAACTCGAGATTCTGTTAGATTCCAAAAAAACCATTACTACAAGTAAT